ATTTTATCTCCGGATGAGTTAGAGCTAAATGAGGATCTTTCGTATGAGGAAATGCCTCTTTGGATCATGGACACAAAGGTTCGAACTATGAGGAACCGAGATATTCGTATGGAGAAGGTAATGTGGTCCCGGCATGGAGTGGAAGAGGCTACGTGGAAAGTAGAACAAGAGATGTTCAAAGCATACCTACGTTTGTTTAATTAAGTAGTGTTGTTTGCGTTTGAGTTTAGATTTCGGGGACGAAATAGAATTATAATATAATATAATATATAATAATAATAATATAATTATATATATATAAATGATAATCAAACAAACCAAACCCACCTTAGAAGGAAGAAGGAAGAAGCAGACGTCCGTATGAGGAAGAAGAAAAGAAAGAAAAAAAGAAGAAAAAAAAAAATTTAGCCGACCGATTTTGATTCCGACTTCGGTATTGTATTCCTTGTTATACGTAGATGGATTTTAATATGAATTTAGATATTGAAGATATTAAATTAGAAATTCTTCAAAAATTCATAACTGGTTATTTGGCTATTTAATCGACGAATTTCTTTTGCTAATAGCCTATCCGTAGTTGTAGTGTTATATCATGAGAATTTCGCATCGATCCAAATCGGATTGAAAACGGTAGTGTACTGCACCTGCCTGTTTATTCATATCTTTAATTATTTTTATTTAATAATCGGGCGATATAAATATTATGAGGTATAAAAGTTTTATAGCTAGAATATCATAGTCTATTAAATATAAAAGTTTGAAACCCAACGAGCTAATTATAGAAATTAGGTATGCATATTACATGCGATTCTGATTAATATGTTAATGTGATATTATGTGAATCATTTTGTCAGTGCATGTATATATTTATATATATATGTGTGCGTATGCATGTGGGAGACTTCACGGTTTATAATATTTTATATACGTATTTGATCGCGTTGGTGAATTTATGAAAAAGAGGATAAGTGAACGGTCTCACCAGCCCTTTTCGGTAAATTCACTTTTTGTGTACGTTGCACACATATTGCACGGTTTATCGGATATGTTTTATGGATCTATCGTCTAGTCGTTGTGTGCGGTAGTGCTAGGCGAGGGCATCATCTGGGGTTAGGATATTCAACCCCGATGTACCGTAACAGTTTGGCGATAGTGGACGATAGTAGTTGGACAACTGGGTGACTTAGTCGCACGGTCATTCAGGGATTAGACCCATTGTAGTTGAGATGTATTTGGTCTAATCATTCGTGTTCGGTGTTGTTCCACTCATTGGACTTATAACTGGTGATGTCTACCGGTAGTTTAGGATCATTTGCCAAACTCCAAACGTGATCCCGTTAGGGCGCGCGAGGAAGAGTAGAGTTTCCGGGTTTCCCTTGGGTGATTCCAGGTTGCACAGATTCTACTATATTACACGGGATAGGGCTAGTCAGTGGGGGTCCTATCTTCGCTATCACAGACTATTGGGCGTCTTGTGGTTAATGACGACAACATTCGGCTATCCATGTATTGATTGTGGGAGTCGTATGGTGGGTATATGGAAGTGACCGGATGACCGTTATATTATTATGGGTTTATCAGGTCCTTCCTTGAGCCGAGGATTTTCCGGCCATTTATTGATGATGGTCTAGTGAGCTTGTTATTACTGGGCCGAGGTTATTCCAGCTGCTCACTTAGACAGATGTAGTGAGCCTATTATTATGGAGCCGAGGTTATTCCGGCTGCTCACTTCGGCGGATGTATATATATGTAGATGTGCATTGTTGTCAAGTTTGATATCTTTGTTACATCATTTCACTATTGGAATGACATGACACGTATTTCATGATTGATGAGAATTAGACTTTATTTTTAAAAGGTATGAAATGACATATTTCACGTTAGTTCTTAAAATGGATTTAATTCTAGACTGCTTTTAAGAAAAATATTTGTTTCAGGTATGCATGGCACATCCGAGACAGGGGACGTCTCGGGATATAGAAAGACGGGCTGAGTGAGTGAACTTACATCTATTGTATTATATGTAAATTTTTAACCGGAAAAACCTCTTGTTTAGGAGTGTGTTTTGTAAATATTAACAAATCAGATTTTGTTATATAATAATACGCTTTTATGGTTAATTTTAGCCTTAACATTGTATTGTAGGGCCCGAAGTAGGAGGTGACGACTTCATGATGCAGTGTAGCGGTAGCATTTCCAGTATGAGCCAACTGGGGGTGTTTCAAGGAGTATGATATATGATGATATGGATTCCTTGTTGAAATTAAGAAATATTTTACCAAAAGCGATTAGGCGGAAAGTGAGTATTCTTCTTAAGAGTCTCATTACCATAAAGTACAACGACAAATGAAACATAAGAGAGTACATCCTGAACATGTCTAATATTCCTACTAAATTGAGGGCACTTAAATTAGACTTTTCGGAGGACATGTTTGTCCTATTGGTCTTGCTCTTGAAATTAATTTAATTTCAGTTCATAGACCTGGGGGTGGATTTTGGTGTAACAACACATATTGGTGTGTCTATGCAAGATTATTTTATTGTCGAAATCAATTGATGTTGAAAGATACATTTATATGGGCGACGAAAAGAAAGTTCAAGTTGAAATCATTGATAATTTTAGATTATTACTGAGTACTGGTTACTAATTGAATTTGGATGAGACATTTTTTTATGGTACCATATTTAGTCGAAATTTAATTTTGATCTCTATTTTGAACAAATTCAGTTATTATTGTTCATTCGGACATAGAGTTTTGTCTCTTCCAGAATTCAAAATCGATTGGAACTAGTACATCATTTGATAATAATAATCATTAGTTACTTAGTAGTATGACTTCATATGATGAATTAGTTATTGAACATATTTGTATAACTTCCATGATTTTGAATCTTCTTAATTACTAAAGGGTTTCTACTTAAGTTCTATAGAGAGCATGTTGCTCATTTGAGAGTGAAACTCTATTTTAATATTTTGATTTAGTGGGAGCTGATTAGTAATGTTCAAATACAGTCAAAGTTACTTTATTTTATATTATATTCAATATTCAGTGTTCATTTTTAATTCAGTATTCATTTGATCAGAATTAAAGTTAAGGTAGATCAGTTGGAAATAGACACATTATGATCACATTACATGAAATTTTCATATTGTGCATCCGCACTTGATCGAATCTTAGGTTATATTAGTGTTGTGACCACTGATCAGTCCTATTGCGATAAATGCAGTGGCGACCGCTTTGATCCGCATTGATGTGACTTATAGATAAGATTGGTAATATACATTAAAGAATCTGATAGCAAAATTTCATAAGCTCATAAGGTTATTCAGTATACATTTACCCAACTGGAAAATTGTTGGATTATAAATCCAATTGTTTGTTAAATGTAACTATTTGGGCTATCAGTCAAGTTAAACCTATATTAAGTGATATATTGATTTATTGGACTTAAATTTATTTAGTAAATGCAGGCCTCCAATGTACAGAAACTTGGTACCTTATTAATTGAATGATGAGGTCAATTAATAATAAGATATATAAATAGGGTTATGATCCCAAGTTTAGACACAACATCCATTACTTCTCATATCTCATCGTGAAAGTAACGACAGAAACCCTAACGATTTTCTCAGGAGGGGTTGAGCCATAGGCTTGAAGAACACAAAACCCTCCGTTAATTTGTAGATCCGAATCCGCATGTGCTAATGGAATAAGGTTAGATCTAATTTGCTTTATTTTTATCTCAATTATTACAACACAGTAGATCCCGAGCTTATGGTTAAATTCGTGATAAGTTCCATGATAAGAGAGATTTAAACCAACTTTTCCAACTTATCTCACATTAATAAGTTCACTCCCCACACCACCAGACCATACGGTGTAGGTAGCAGCAAATGACTAAATTATCTAAATCGCTTTTGTTTAATTAATGGTTTAGAATTAATTCAATTTATGCTTATTTAATATATACTTCAGCATAGCATGTTCCAATTTTTTTTAAAACATGAATTGGTTTTTAGGATTTGTATTAGTGATTTTTTAAAATATTCTAAAACGTGATATTGTAGTATCGAAATTATCAGTTTTAATTATTTGAAATGTCAAATCAAATTTAAATTTTTCATAATTTAATTTATAGTTTTTTATTTCGATTTGAGTTCTACCGATTATATATGACAATGTTAATTTATGTTTATTTCTTTTTAATTATTTTATTTTTAATTTTAATTAATAAAAATTGAAATTTTAATATGATTTTATTTATAAATATATATTTTTTAATAAAAATTCATATAAATAATAATAACAATTAAATAGATCGTTACAAGATAAAAATTAATTACGCTGAATATATATATATAATATAATAAATCCGATCAAAAATAATAATATAACAAAAAATATAAATTTAAAAAAATTAGTATTGTTTTAATAAAATAAAAATAATAATAATAATAAATATATTTTTTGAAAACTAATGTACTTTTAATATTTTTATTAAATGTTTGAATTTCTTTTTTTTTTTTATATATATATACATACATGCAAGTATACTGCACCTATTTGAAATTATATAAATCAATAAAAAAATATTTAATCCAAAAATTTATAAATTCTAATGAAATCCAGAAAAATTAATAAATAATCCAATCAAATCTATCAAAATCCATGTAAACTAATAAACAAAATCAATTAAACACAGTATAAATTCTATAGAATTTATAAATCTACTCCGTCTACTAATTTTATAAAAATAAAAAAATACACTCTCCTAAATCTAATAAAACATTAAACAATATATTCCTAATTTCATCACCAACAAACAAATACACCAAGAAATACAAAAAAGACATGAATTTGAATTGAGAAAGCAAACCAAACCGAATAACAGACCTCGGAAGAGGCTGAATATAAAAGGCATAACTCAAAGCTCTAGATTCGCCGGACAGACAAAACAAGGGAAAATTGATCGGAAGCGGCGCGCGACGTGAATGAATTGAGTGAACAGGTGAGGTAACGGCCCGGAAATGAATGAATCGATGCGGTGCGGACCTAAGCATTGCTGTAAAAAGTAGGGCCTAAGCCTAACTTGTACGGCGTGCTGCGTCGTTTGTACCTCACCTCCTCCGACTAACTTGTACATCTGCCGCACACGTGTCCCATGCCATCTATCTCCAAATACAAATACAAATGCAAATACAATACAAAACCAACCACTCCTTGTGATTTCGGTCGACTTGGCAGAATCAATGAGCCAGCTGATATCGTTGCTTATGACGGCCACCAAGCTGGCCGGGGTTCTTGCCTCCGTCACCGTTGCTGCCAACGCTTTCTCTTACTCGCGCTATAAGCGGAAGAATATGTCGCCCTTTAGATCCCCCCTCGACGAGTCTGCCGATGTTCTTGCTCAATTCAACATCAACCCTACTTCCGGTACCGATTTTACTTGTTGTTTCTCCTTGAGTTCGCCCCTGCCCCTGCCCTGCCTTGCTATGCCCGCCCCTTTCGATCCCTTTTTATTTAATAATATCAAAATATTAATGTTCAAATTTGTCTAACTCTATTTAAATTTGTATTTTGAAAATATTTTCATATTGTGTTTTTATTTTAATATAAGATATTTTTATTTGTAAAAAAAACTCAAAAAAATTTAAAATAATTAAAAATTATTAGTATTTTATATTATTTCTATATACCATAAAATAATTAAATAAGAAATTCATTTTTTTTTTCCGTCAAAACTGAGTAACATTCATGGTGGTGTCGGTATTTGAAATTTCATTTGGTAAAGACAAGATAAAAGATTAGTTTATCATAGTTGAATATCTTATAGTAGACGTGGACGGACAATCTTTGATGTCTTAAACGAGTTGTGAAAATGATCTTTTATGAGTTGCCTTGCCTTGCCTTCCTTCTGATTCATGTGATATAATCCATCTTTCAATGCTTTGTGCAGAGGAGGAAGAAAGCTTCTTTTTTGGGTTAGCAACAGCACCAGCACATGTTGAGGATAGGCTCAATGATGCTTGGCTTCAGTTTGCAGAAGAACAGCCCTGTGACCAACCCGATTCTCAAAAAGGTGAAGAAACAGCTAATGCTGTAATGGCCTCCGCATCTGGAGATGGTGGTTCTCAGAAGGCTGCATTGACAGGCAGAGAAACTAGTAAGAGCATGAAGAGAAAGAAGCAACTCAGGATAGCCATTGAAGCCAAAATCCGAGGATTTGAGAAATATGAGGAGATTGAAGAACAACATGACTTGGGTAAAGAATGCCATCATACTGTTGCCTCCTGGCATAATGTTCCACACCCGTAAGAGCTGTATGCATTTCTAGAGCTACACTTTAAGATGTTTATAGCTAGTGATATTTATCTTGGATAGAATGTAAGATTTTGCTTTTATCAAGCTGTTAGATGTCTTATTCTTAAACTTGTAGTTTTTCTTATCTGGATTGCATATAATCTATTATTGAGCACTCTTAATACATACATTTTCAGCGAGGAGAGGTTGAGATTTTGGTCAGATCCTGATACGGAACTTCAATTGGCTAAAGATACAGGAGTTCAGGTCTTTCGGATGGGAATAGACTGGACAAGAGTCATGCCTGAAGAACCTTTGAATGAACCTAGAGAAACTGTAAGTATTAGTAGTTTAATCTTAGCCACGTTCTAATCCCAAACTGCATGAACATGTAGAATGCCATGCTATCCATGTAATGAGATTCTGGCTGATGATCGGACTTCAACTTGGAAATTGTGTCATGTTATTGTGCTTGTGTTTTCAAGAAACAGACCTTGTGTATGCTTGAAAAATCAAAGTTTCATTATGATCCATATCATGTGTGTTCTTCTTTACTACAGTGAACAAAAGGTATCTCTCTTCTTCAGATCAATTTTGCTGCATTGGAACGATATAGATGGATCATCCAAAAAGTTCGATCATATGGAATGAAAGTAATGTTGACGCTGTTCCATCACTCTTTGCCACCATGGGCGGCAGAGTATGGAGGGTGGAAGCTGGAGAAAACTGTCGATTATTTTATGGAATTTACAAGGTTCAACTCTGTTCTTTTTGGTCTTGGTCAATTCATTACCTATTTTCCACACTTTTAATTACATTGGAATTTTAATTGCCTTCAAATAATAAGACATTTAAATTATACATTGAGGCACAGAATCATGCTCTCTTTTCAAGCTTCAGGAGCTAGATTGATATCTTATCTAAGAAAACTGTGGATTTTTAGATGCAAATGTGGTTCTTTCCAAATTCTGTAATCTAACTGCTACGCAAGAAAGAACTTCAAGTGAGTCAGCTCCTAAATCTTGAACTCATATCTGTCCTTATATTTTGCAGAGTGGTTGTTGACTGTGTGTCGGATTTGGTGGAGTACTGGGTAACTTTTAATGAGCCCCATGTTTTTGCCATGCTCACATACTGTGCTGGTGCTTGGCCTGGTGGTAATCCTGACATGCTTGAAGTTGCCACTTCGGCCCTTCCAACTGGTGTCTTTAATCAGGCCTTGCATTGGATGGCTAAAGCACACTCAAAGGCTTACAACTATATTCATGAGAAAAGGTTGCATTTATTGTAAATTTCTCTATATTATACCCGCTGCTTGATTGGAGATTTTTTTTTTTTTTTAATTAAAAAAATCTAACCATGTGTGTGATCTTAATAATCCAAGTAGTAAAACATATATTCCAAACTTATCAATGATAAGGACAAATTAGTATTTATTCTTGATTAATGAGCCTGTGTATGATAGTTGTTAGTTTAATGAGTATTTTTGGTTTTGATGCAGTGCAACCCCAAGTGCAATTGTTGGAGTAGCACACCATGTCTCCTTTACGCGACCATATGGGCTATTTGACATTGCTGCTGTCTCTGTAGCTAATTCCTTAACACTGTTTCCGTTTATGGATAGCATTTCTGACAAAATGGACTATATAGGGATAAATTATTATGGACAGGTTCTGGTCTATGTAGTTTACTAGAACAAATGGCTTTGTACTTGTATCTTGTGATAAGTTTCTCCTATTGATTAAGTAAGTATTCATCTCCTGTTGTTTCTTGGTCAGGAAGTAATTTCTGGTGCTGGATTGAAGCTTGTAGAAACTGATGAATATAGCGAATCTGGGCGTGGGGTTTATCCTGATGGCTTATTCCGTGTACTAATACATTTTCATGAAAGATACAAGCATCTGGGCGTACCATTTGTCGTTACTGAAAATGGTGTATCTGATGAGACAGATTTGATCAGGCGACCGTATATGCTGGAGCATCTTTTGGCAACTTACGCAGCAATGATCATGGTTTTGAGTTCAGATTTTGCGATCTGTATGGATATTTCTGATAATAAGTCTTTGTTGAAGTGCTAACGAGCAGCTTAATCTGTGTTAATGTTTGCAGGGTGTGCCCATCCTAGGCTACCTGTTTTGGACCATATCTGATAATTGGGAATGGGCTGATGGGTATGGTCCCAAGTTTGGTTTGGTAGCAGTCGATCGTTTCAATAATCTTGCAAGGATTCCACGCAAGTCATACCATTTGTTTTCCAAGGTGTGGCGGGTGGGTGATTTATAAGAAGTGATGGTGGTAAGGGGTTCTGAACTGACTGAGATCCTGGATGATTGCAGGTTGTGAAGTCTGGTAAAATAACTCGCATGGACAGAGCTCGGGTGTGGAATGACCTCCAGTCGGCTGCTGGAGAGGGGAAAACAAGACCATTTTACCGGGCAGTTAACAAGCATGGTCTGATGTATGCTGGTAAATACACTCTTAGCTCCGACTTTCAGTTCATGCTGATGTTGCTTGCTTCTCTGGTAAAAATCTAGACTAGTAGCGTTAGTGTGTCTCCAAATATCAACAAACATTTCATTTCATTTCATTTCATTCCTTAGGATTTGAGCAATCAATTGGTTGACTTTGTTCTATCTTGTCCTTATTTCCATAGGAGGCCTGGACAAACCAATAACGAGGCCCTACATTCGTCGGGACTGGAGGTTTGGACATTATGAGATGGAAGGTTTGCAGGACCCATTGAGCTGCCTCTCAAGAACTATTCTCCATCATCTCTTCTTCCTCTTCCCGGGTAAGAAAGAAAATGTATTGGAAACAGAGTCAGGGTTGGAGGAATTAGCATACGAGTGAGCCAACGAACGTGTTTGTGCATGCAAGCAATATCATTGCCATCAGTATTGTTTTCGTTGCATGACTTGGCCTGTGATTGTGAACAGGTAATGATATTTTGTATGATTTTATTATCTTTTGGCATGTGTATATATTATTTTACTGAAGTTACTGTTCAGTGTTCACAGTTCTAGGAGGTATTGTACAATTATAATATCATCAAGTTAGCACTAGAATCACAATTGAAGAATGAAGACTACTGATTTAAAAGAAGGTAGGACAAATAAATTATAATGTCAAGTACCATAGGGTCCAAAGAATAGTAGTATTGGTTGTCTGTTTTGATTATGTTTAGTGTGCAGGGATATTTCTGAACAAAATACATTAAAATAAAATTTGGAATAACTAGAATAGACTACAATCTTATTGATCTGTTTCACTAGGTTACTTTTTGTTCCAAACTTTAATTTGCTGGGGATAATTTGTTGGTATTCCTGGTTAGCTCATCATCTGAAACTCTTTATTTATTTATTTATCCTTAGAACTAACTGCTTCTAGAGTGTGCACATAAGTTATAACTTCTGCTACATTCTTCAAATCCTTGATGTCAATGTACTTGTATATTGTTAATCTAGTGTGATTGCTGATTACTCGACTACTAAATTAAAGGTAGACTGTTCTCTTGTTCAATCATTTAGAGACTTTGGGATATCAAACCGATGGAGTTTACTTTATTAACCTTGTGCAAATACTAATTGTCTTCTCATTCAATAATGTTTACTTTATTAACCTTCTGCTGCTTTTAAATGTTACCATATATAATTTTCAAAAGTTAAACTCTGTAGATCCACCAAATCTCGCGTCTGATATAGATCCAACGCATTCTTCTCGTCTATCGTAGCTTGACGCCAACCAGGGTGAGAAAGAGCTTCATAAACGGATTTGGGGAGGATAATAGAATCAAGTGATGTGACAAAAGTAAAGGTAGGAGGAGACAACTGATCATAGGAAATAAAATTAGAGATAGGATAGGTTCAAGAGCGAGTACCTTTACGAAGAGCAATCGGTAGGTTATCTAGTTTTGTAGAATCTGGCGACGAAGATGATGCTAGCATCAGGGAAGAGTCAGAGGCTGGAGCTGGATTTGTGTGGATCTTAGGAAGGTGAATTTTGTCGCGTCGAGAGTAGACATGGTGAATTGGTAGCCGTGTGGCTGGTGGAGGATTGGGTGTGGTTGTCTTGATGGTGTACATAAGGATGTCGGGAGACTCCCCCTGTTCTTGAACGTCAGGGGATGGTATTAAAGGAGTGTCCTCATGGAACATGACATCGACAAACACAATATATTTCCCAAGGCTCGAACAAAACACTTGTATCCCTTTTGGACGTAAGAGTAACCCAAGAAGATACATTTTAATGATTTTGGGTCAAGTTTAGTGACATGTGGATGTGTATCTCGAACAAAGCATGTACAACCAAATATTTTTGGAGGCAATGGATAAACATGCTTATCAGGAAAGAGAATATGAAAAGGTGACTGACCATTAAGAACAGAGGACGACATCCGATTAATGAGGAAGCAAGCGGTGGAGACAACATCAGCCCAAAAATATTTAGGGACACTCATATGAAATAGAAGAGCTCGGGCTGTTTCAAGTAAGTGCTTATTTTTTCTTTCGGCAACACCATTCTGGGCTGGAGTGTCAACACACGAAGTATGGTGTATATTACCTTTTCGTTTCATAAAGGATTTGAATGAATCAGACAAATATTCCTTAGCATTGTCACTTTGTAGGATTTTAACTGGGAAACCAAAGTGGGTGTGAATTTCAGCACAAAAACTTTAAAAATGTGAAAACAGCTCTGATCGATGACGCATGAAGAAAATCCAAGTCTTCGAGAGTAATCATCAACAAATGTAACAAAATATTTAAACCCTTGTTTAGAAGGCACATGACATGGACCCCAAACATCCGAATGAACACGATCGAATAGGGCTTGGACACGATTGTTCTCCCTATGACTTAAACTGACATGATGATGTTTAGCAAACTGACATGATTCACAACTGAACGGATATAAATTTCTAAACCTGGGGCACATTTCTTTTATTTTCTGAAGGGAATGGTGACCTAACCGACAATGAGTTTCAAATGAGGTTCCAGTACATATACAGGTGATGGACTTTTGGTTTGACGTGTCAAGAGTATACAATCCCCCTGATCATATCCCTTGCCAATCATCTTCTTCGTCTCCAAATCTTGGAAAACACAATAACCAGGAAATAATGTCACGCTACAGTTTAAGGCACGGGTGATCTTACTAACATAGATTAAATTAAAGAAAAAATGAGGTAGGTTCAAGACAGTGGATAACAAAATAGTTGGTGTAATATCCACACTTCCTGACTCGACAACTTGGGTAGTGGATCCATCTCCGAGGGTAACTAGGGATTGAGAACAATGTGATTGATAAGACAAGAAAAGATTAGGATTAACTGTCATGTGATCCGTGGCTCATAAATCAATGACCTAAGAGCCGGAGGATGTGACGAGACATGTGCTAGAGTTACCTTGGTTAGCCATAGTTGGGATAGCAGTAGATGAATGCGTTTGGTTCTCTTGAGACATCTATAACTTGGAGTTCTGACATTCCAAAGATGCTACATGGGCGAATTGATCTTACTGCATAGTGAATTGCAACTTTCTACAGTATTTCTTAACATGCCCTAGGTTCTTGCAATAGTGACATATGATGTCTGGGCCACTCTTATATGTTCCTTAGCGATTTTCACCTTTGGATGGCTTGTACTCTTTCCTGCTCACCAAGGCTCCATTGGAAGAGACTGGATGAGAGTCGGTTCGGAGGACTCTAGAGAATATATCTTGTAGAGAGGTGATGTCGGAGCTCCCCAGTATTTTAGATTTTACTAGTTCATACTCGCCTCGCAAACTAGCTAAGAAACTCATGATGGTCATTTGTTCACGTTGCTTTTGTTGTTCTCTAACATCGGCATAAAAAGGCATGAGTTCATTTAACTCTTCATATGTCTTTTTGAAGTCCATAAAATTATTCACAAGGGATTTATCTGTCATTTCAGCGTGATAAAAAGCCTTGCACACATCATATATCTGGGTAACATTCCCTTTACCCAAGTATAATAACTCCAAATATTGAATAAGTCTTTGACACTATTGCAGTGACTCACCAAACCGTAAACCTCGACAGCCAATGAATTTCTGATATGGAGAAATAACCTTGCATCATCTCGAAGCCATGCCCTCCTCTCTTTTTCGTCCGTAGGTGGGTCCTCTTCAAAGTGATCATCCTTCTCAATGCTTAGTAAGTATAACTTCACAATTTTTCCCCACTCCAAGTAATTCAATCCATTAAGTTTATACTTGTAATTTTGGATGTAAGTGGAGCAACTTCATATACAACAATAGCCTTGTCCTTACTCATTATTGAATAATGGAAGAACAATTTGGAATTCCAAATATTGGCAGCAACAATATGCAATTATTGCTTGTCTAGAACACACGCTGGAAGTCCACTGAAAAATTCTGGATTCCCCAACCAAATCTGGAAGCAATAGTTTGGAATAAAAATGGCACCCACCGGAGCACTAGATACCACCCACTGGAGCACCCAGCACCACCACACACACCTGTGCGTGAATCTAGTCTGAAACAGATACTGAACGCGTGATTCACACGCTTGCTAGAGCCTCGCCGGAATCTTGCCGGACCGCCGCCGTCGAGGTCGCCCGTCACCGCCAAACCTCCACTCGCCGGAGATGAGATGAATATTGGCCAGAGTCTAGGAGCATACAGTTCTCTGCCCTAAGTGCTCGATCGAAATCTGATGATCTTTCACCCTCTCATTCATAACTAGGAACTTAATGTCAATATGTATTGACCTGGACGAGCTCCTATTGTTATTGGAGTACTCAATGGTTGAATTGTTGTCACAAAAAATCTTGACGGGTTTTTCGACCATCGGAATGATTTGCAGCCCAGTGACAAAGTTCTTTAGCAAAATCTCTTGCTGTGATGCCTCAAAACACGCCCCCAGCTTCCATAGTAGAACTGGTAACGAGTGTCTGTTTGGCACTGCGCCAAACGATGGCTCCACCAGCCAACATATAAGCATAACCAGATGTAGATTTCCTACTATATTGACATCCCGCAAAGTTGGAGTCATTGTATCCAACGATCTCCAATTGGTATGACCTTCTATATGTGAGCATATGATTACTAGTTCTCTTCAGGTATCTCATCACCCTTTTGGCTGCCTTCCAGCTATCCAATCCAGGATTATTGAGGTATTTGCCTAACATACCGACTATCTACACAATATCTCGATGCATACATACTTGTGCATACATGAGGCTCCCAATTGCCGAGACATAGGGGATCTTTTTCATTTCCTCAATATCCAGATTTACTTTAAGGCATTGGCTGAGATTTAATATTTCTCATTTAGCTATAGGGTATCTCCCGGCTTGCATTTCTGCATGCTGAGTCGGTCGAGTACTTTATCAATATAGCTATTTTGAGATAATCCAAGAATACACCGAGATCTATCACGATATATTTGGATCCCTAATTAGAAAAGATGTCTCACCAAGATCTTTCATCTTAAAGTTACGCGAGAGAAATTTCTTAATTTACAAACCATTTGTTTTGGGTCATCGACCTCAAAAGTTTCTGGTTGTACCATATAGATCGCTTCATCAATATCACCATTTAGATACGCCGTCTTTACATCTATCTGAGGGAGCTCTAATCAAAGTGTCCACAAGAGCCATGATTTTCCTGAAAAATTCTTTCGAGGAAACCGGAGAGAATGTCTCTTTATAGTAAATCTCATTTTTCTGAGTATAGTCTTTAGCTACAAGATGTGCCTTATACCTCTCCACATTACCATTTGCATCCCGTTTGGTTTTAAAGATCCATTTACAACCTACAGGTTCTGCACCTTCTGGCAATGGGACAAGTTCCCAAACTTTATTGTCTTGCATTGACTTGTACTCATCATACATTGTATCGACTTATTTATCTGAATAAGGACCCTTCATGGCATGATAAATATTAATTGGATCATCCCTTGTCATGCCATCATTGTGTTCACTTTCTTGAAGAAATGTCACATAATCAGCCGGAATGGCATTTCTTC